TAATTGACTTAATATTTAACCCTTCGGTAGGAGTTAAGAGTATGAAGAAGGAACCTGATTTGTCCCACAGAAAATTCCAAAGGTTCAGGAACTGATAAAACTTAGCTCTGCTTTTGCATCGGAAAAAAAAACACCAAAACAAAACAAAAAAAAAAAAAACAACAACAAAAAACTTAGTTCTGAAGTGGAAGGAAATACAAAAGTAAAAAGAAGGGTCAAAAATGTCATTAAGAAGCAATTAGACTTGAAAGTTGCTCAACTGTGTGCATGTAGGTGATCAGTTAGACATGTAGTGGATCAGGTAATCAGGATTCTCTGGTTAGAAATTAGAATATGTTAACATACAGATTCCTAGATTGGAACACAGTAGGTACTGTTTGATCTGAGATCAACATACCAAGAAAAACTTTGGATCCGGAGTCACCCAGCCAACTTTCCCCAATTAGCTCTCAGAATGCAAATGCCCAGGCTTATATTTCCAGGAAGAAGATCTAAAGATATTTCTCTTGGTATCTAACTAGCGCCAGAAGAAAAATAGACCTAACATATTGACATTGGGTATTCCTTAATGAAATGGTCTGGCCAGATCACTATAGAGACAAAGACACTCACTAAGCCCTTTATGCGAGCACAGAGCTTGCCTTCATCATTTAGAGTACTGTTCTTCATTATGAGCAGGCAACCATCGCTAGCTGCTTGGGACAGCCACACGGATGTTATTTGTAATTATACACCCTAGGAGGAGCCTGGGGATGAATCATTGTGAGGTTTGCAGAAAAGGAGATCACACAACCCAAGAGAGAATTAAACATGGCACCCAAGCCACCTCATAAGAGTTGTTCTGGCAAGGATAGCTGGGTGGACCAGTTGTGAAACTGTTTCCAAAGCTGGCCATTGAACCTTGGGTCATAGAAGCAGCACTCCACAAACTCAGCACAGATGCCAAGTCCCCCTTTCTGAAGGCTGGAGTTACACCTGGACCCTCTGACATATCCCACCTGCAAGGAGGATATTGCCTTTCCTTTCCTTAGTCCCTTGCGAGATGCCACAGTGTAAGAGGAGGTCACCCATCTCTCAGGTCCCTTGACAATTTGGAGAGCCCCTTGGGAGCGACTGAGCTTTGAACATTAATGTGAGTTTATACACTTCCTGGACCATATGGATTGCCACCTTTAGGTATGATGGAGCTCACTAGAATGTCGCTTTTTTTCATCCCTTATGATATCTCTGATAAATGGCAGGACTAAGTGTCAGCACACATTAGACAGTCATCTTAGCATTTTGTACATTTTAATAACTCTTGGTGTGCTGTGTAAGATTGACCCCTTTGAACAAAGTTCAAAGGACTCTGCAAATCCCTGGCCACACATAAACCTAAAATATAAATTTAGGTAACAGATGTCACTACTAGGGTCACAGTCCTTATCCCCCTCAGATTTCCAGAGATTATTCATAGTGACCAAGGCACTCACTTCACTTTTAAAAATAGACAATGGTAGGCTCAGGAAGAAGGTATTCAGTTGATAAATTGATTTCATCTCTCTGTCTCATGTCAGATGCGTGTTCTCCATTCAAAACTTAGGATGGAAATCTCTTCCTCACCAACAGAGGGAATGGTTAACAATAAAAATAACCATTTTCTTACCTTCTTATTTTTCTTTCAGTATTTGACTAAATTGGTTGAAGTAAATTGAGCTAAATTCAGTGAATTTATTAGGTGGGATGATGGTAAGATGATTTTGTGAAGGCAGGTAACTCAGACCTATGCTTGGTGAAGCAGCAGGTTAAGTATGATTTCTCTGAGAAATGTACTCATATTTGTTTAGCTCTAGTTTTGCTTATTCACTGCCAACATAAAATGTTGTTAAGAGGGATAAAAATGCATACAACAACATTTTATTCTAAATTTAAAGTGTGGAAGGACATTCAGAGCTGTCATTAGTATCTTAGGCCAAATTTCATGGTGCCCATACCTAAGAATCATCCTTATGGACAAGCACATGGCATAGAGAGAGCACTGAAGTTTAAAAATATAAAGTTAAGTTCTAGATGCTATAACTTATTTGTGTATTTTTAAGTATAGTTACTTCTAAGATTTCAAGTTAAAATAAGACACAGAGACTAGAAATGTGAGCCAGGGACAAGTTGAAAATTCAGAGTCAAGAGAAAGGGTTTGGGTAAACGTTAGGTTTATGTTTAGGGTCTTCCATCAGTCTGTCTGTATTTGTCTAATTCTTCATAGGTAAGATTAGGACCAGAATATTTTCCAAGCCCTGTCCTATACTAAATTTCTGTTATTCTGTGGGTCCACCTTAAAGGCAACAACATAGAAATATGATTTATTGCTAATAGAGTTTAGATAGTAGTTGATAAATACAGGTCTAACAACATTAGGACTTTTTAAAAATTATTTGCTGAAAACATATTTTGAACTTAGTTGGAAAGGGAAGGTAAATAATTTTTTACAACTGTTATATCTTTTAATTAGTTTTATTTACATTTCTTTCTCTTCATTATGTAGTACCATGTATGTGTCACAAAAAAAGACAGAGGGTTTGACTTAATGTGTCCTTTATAATTGGTCAAGACCAATTTTGGCATATAGACCAGTGAAAGTTTCACACGAAAAAAAAACACCTTTAAAATATTTATAATTTACATAATACATATTTATAAAATTATTTCCAAATAAATGATTAATAAAAATTAAATGGTAATCATCAATTATTACAGAGAATAAAGTGGAATACAGTGGAGAGGCTATCAATTAACATAAGAAAAAAATCTAAAATTCTCTGTAAATGTTAAGATATGTATAATGAAGTTCACGTCCCACTTGGATAGCAAGCGTAGTAAACGTGAGTGATAAAGAGAAAATTAGCAAGCCCTTCTACAAATAAAGTTACCTTCCTCACAAACTTTTCCCCTTTTTTTATGTCATCTTATTAAAGGCAACAGGATCCACTCAAACAAACCAAAAATCCCAGCCATGGTAGTTTCTCTCTGTCTTTGTCATCAGTCCAATCCAGGTTGGGGAATGTCTGGCCCGCTGGCCCTTGTAAAGCCTCCAAAATCATTTGGTCTGGCTCAGCCAAGGCATTAGGAGTGACTTAATGAAACGTTTGACCAAATATAACAGGCTAATTTTTAAGTTGACAATTTTGTATGACCTTTGAATGATATTATAAATATCCAAATGGCCTTTGGCAATAAAAAAGGTTCCCTACCCCTGGGGAGAGGAAGTATGTCCTATTTGTCTTCTGAAATGTCTCTTCATTCTGTCTCTCCTTCTCTATTGTTACTAGTCCAATCGGTAAGTTCATTGTTCTCCTTTGCTGCCTAGCTAGAGATGCACAGCAACTTGGTGTCTTTCCTTATGCCAATTTCTCTTCTTTCTTTTTTTGAGTTTATGAGTTATCTTGCTAAATCTATATTAGATAATGCTTAGATATTTGCAACATGTATTTTCACCTTTTAATCGTTATATCTAATACTAGAAAAGACTCTTCTAGAAAGATTGTTAAAATAAATATTACATTTACACTAACTGTGCTAATATCTAAACTTTAAAAATGCCTAATACAACTTGTTCACTCCATGAAACTGACTTGCAGTCGGGACCTTGCTGCACACCTCAGTAACAATGCCCTTCACCAATCATCATAGTACTAGCCCCTTGTCATAAAGCTTGATGACATGTTATGCTAATGTCAGGTAATTCCACAGGATCTGTTACCGATATTGCCAATTTCCCCCCTTTTCTGGTCCCTATAATTGCAAGTACATTATCTTAGGATCACTGAGACACCTTTTAAATGAGCAATATTTGCCAACACTAGCATATGAATCCATACATCTTTGTCAAAGAAATATTAGAAACAAAGCAAATTTCTATGAAGGCACCCCAATGAGTGAGTTTGGTATTACTATATCTTTAAATGAAATGCACATATCTCTTTTCTTTTTTACTCCTTCCTAGAGCATGCTGTCTCATCTACTTCATTCTTCATAGCCTAATTAGAATTACCTAAATTCTTTTATTTTTATTAATTGTCTCCTTGTTTTAACTTACATAGGGTTATAACTTCATGGACCTCAAAAATCAAAACTACTCCTCAGTCTTTTAAAACTTGTTGAAGTATGAAGGAAGATAGTAATTGTATTCTCTTCTCTCCTATTCCCCACTCTTTAATATGACTTTACTTGGAATATTTTATGACAGCAATTATGTTGTCTCTGTAGTTGATGCAGCCCAGTAACAAATGAGGACGGTTTTCACGCCGTGCCAACAGAAAACGATCACTGATGGTCCAAGAGTAGAAAAGTCCAAGCCAAGCCAGCGTGTGGATGATCAGATATTATTACCGTCCATCCAGGCACTTGGACAGTCTAAGCACTAATTAATAGAAAGCCACAGAATGTGTTTGCCTACGAGACTATTCTTTCCCGCCAATTATTTCTACACATGAGTCTCCCTTGTGTCAGTTAATACCTGTCACCATTTCACCATCTCTCCCTCCCTCTATCTCTCTCTCTCTCTCTCTCTCTCTCTCTCTCTCTCTCTCTCTCTCTCTCATCAATTTTGAGAGAAATGTATTACCAGAAAACTTTGGGATTGATTATTTACTTCATTATTAATTAGGAAACATAACTAAGAATAACAGAACTATTTTATAATAAAATACAGAATTTCAGGTGTAGGCAGTTCAAATATCAATTGATTTTTCCCCTTTGTCATTTTAAAGAGAGGAGTTAGCCTCACTGATAAGAGGACGGAAGGGTTGGGGATTGTGTTCTGGTTCAGGGGATAGCGCAGCTAATTAAATGTTCCTTACTCCCAGGAAGATTGGTTGAGGAGTTACCTAATGATTATCAACAGCTGTCAAAGAGGACAGAAGTAAAAAGAAATAAAACAAAAAGTATCTTTATCCATCCAATATTCTCAGTAGAAGTTTTTACATGAATTAATACATGTCCTTTAAAATATAAATACTCCCGAGAAACATTAACTTAGTCACAGATTAATATGAACTCATTTTATCTAGTGAATTTAAAATCTAGATTTCAAGACGAAGAAATAAAACTTTCAATTAATTAAAGAGAAAAGAGAAAACATTTTAAATTTTTGAACAGCCAAAGGGACGGCTCTAGAGAACGAGGTCTGATCTGCTGAGCTAAGATATGAGAATGTCAAGAATTCTGCAATTAGAATCATTTTAAAAATCTAATTCTATTGAGCAGATACGGAATACTGCCCAAACTCAATTTTATAATATGTCATATGCAAAAATATGATTCTGTCAAATATGCACTAAGTCCAGCAAACATTTATTTGCATGGGAATGGGAAGATATTCAGAAAGCACATTGGGGTCAAAGGAAAAATTCAGATCAATATGTCCTGATGCAATCATACACATATATATTTCAACAGTAGGGAAAGGGGGCGACGAGAGAGATGACTAGAACTCGGTGACTGTGAGTTTTATTTCCTGGACTCCACACCAATAATAACAGACAGGCAAAGGTGAACTGAGCTGAGCAGTGCATACCTATGTCAAGCCTATCATTTTCAGATCAGCACTGCTTACATACAACTCTAAGGCAGTCTTCAATTTTGAAAAAGAATTTTTCCTATGTGTAGACCATTCCCCATACTTCTGGTAACCGAGGATAGTGGTAAAGTCATGGCAAATAATATTAATAATATAACATGCCACTTATTGTGTGTTAGCACTGTGTTATGCATTTCATTCAAGTCAGTTCACCTAATTCCCACAAACGTTCTACAAGTGCACTTCTCCATATTTTACAACGGTAAAGATTCAGATTCAGATGAGAAGTGACTTTTTGAAAAGATCTTTCCTGTCTTTCCACAGCATTAAATAAGTTTAATTTGAAATAGAGGTCACATGGTGCCGTGCTTTTCAAACATTTGGGGAAATGATTCACAGTAAGAAATGTATTTCACGTTGTGACCTCTTTGACACATGTATCTGAAAAAAGCTTTATCTGCTTCTACCATAACTTATCTTTTAATACTATTTTATTCTACATTTTTTCTTTTGCTTTTATGTTATTTTCTTAAAATATTAATTTGTTCTCATGACCCTCCTGTTGGTTTTGACCACAAATTTCGATCACTTAGTTATTTTATAAGGTGTTATTTAATATTTTCCTATAATTTCCTTAGTTCCCAAAGCAAACTAGAATGCATTATTACATCCCATCGCTGTTGGACTTTAATACATTTGTAACCTGATAAAATTTAATTGTACCTTTGAAAATTCAAAATCTTGGTTAATTAGAAGAGTTCATGATGATTCCCAAGAAGAATAAATGTAAGGGGCAGGCGGCACAGGTCTACAGGGAACCAAAGTGACTTATAATTATAACCATTAATGTGTCATTGAGAACGATCATTTCTGATAGTAGTTATTTTCCATCTTAACGTTGGCTTTATTAGTTGTTCAAAGCAAGAGAAATACCTAGTCTTTTCCTTTGTTGCTTCATAAAGTTAACCTCTATCCAGATATGTGTAGTTTGAACTTAAGAAAATTTTACAAACCACACATGGAATTGAAAAAGCACAATATTTCTTCTGTTACCTTTCAGCTATTTCAGGATGTAAATTGATATAAGTTCACTCAGATTATTTTTACATTTAAAAAACCTATACCTTAATTTATATTTTTTCTCAGGAAAATAATACTCAAATAAATTTTATTTTTTCTTATGTTCCCATCAACTCAGTATGAAATAATTTGTTTCTAAAATTTTACATAAAATGTTTTTTTCTTTTATTTTTTGAAGGCACTCATATTCTAGGTACAACCTCTGCATTACTCCTTGTAGACCCTCTGTCTTACAAATCAAAAAAGTTAAAAGGAAAATATAACATCAAGTATGATATATATATGTGTATATATATATATATATGTTTAAAATATTCATTGTGGTTATCATGAGAACCATATGGAACTAAATGCCGACTTTCAAAACTATAAATATAGTGAAATCCTTTAAACCTAGCATATGTTGCTTCAAATGAGACTCAGTTTTGAACAGATGTCCCCTTAGACCTGTTTATTAAAACTAAAATTACTAAATCAGCATAAGTTGCTTTTAAACATTAGGCTATATTTTGCCACTGATTTTTATTCTAAGATCCCACCGACGTCAGTGGAAGATCCATGCATGGAAAATTGGTATAATATGTATCCTAGTTTTATTCATTTCATATGTATACAGCAGTATAAAATAATATATTACATTTACACTCATTTTACTTATGTATTTTATAGCATTCACAGTAACAAACACTATAGTTAAGATTTAAACTCATCTTTTGTTATAATACCCTGTTTTCACTCACAGATAACTGTCTCAAAAATGTGTTTAGAGCAGAAATTCCCTGCTTACTTTCAGCTCAAGGATGAATGGATGAATTGGACGTCTGAGTTCTATTGTTCAGAAGCTTTTGAGTCTCATGTGAAAATTTAGAAACATTTTGCATCATTAATGCAATATTTTCACGCAACTCAAAAACATCTGGAGTGTAAAACTTCAAACTACACATGTGACAAGTTTTCAAGAAATAAAAGCCAGTTTTCTAACTTTACAAATACTTGAAAATAACAGTGATTAGAAATACACGCATGCACACTGAAGGTATTAGAATTTTAGTCATATTATTGCCTGCAATACTCTGATGGCACCCATCTACCTGCATTCTCACAGAATGCCATCATCTAAAATCTACTCCAATTTTTAGAAAAAAAAAAAATACTCTACTGAACAGTAGTTTCACAAATTACTGTCTAAGCATTTTGTTTGACTTGGCAGAGGGCTATTCCTTGAAGTGTTAACAATATATAAAATAATTTTACTACTCCATGGCATAAAAATATGGAATTTTGTCATTTTCTGTTTTTCCTTGTTAAAAATGAACATAAAAAGGATGTTAAGTGCAAAGCCTTTATCACTACAAAATTGGAGTTGAAAAAGGTAAAGAAATTGCAATATGAAATATATAAGATTTTCAGAAAAATCATCAAGTATACCAATGTTTTAAGTATTTTTTTAGTTCCTCAGATAGTAAAGGAACACATAGAAATGTGAGGGGGAGAGAAAAATCATGTGCAGTGACCAATATCTGTGTTATAAGTAGTCAGTAACTTGAATATTTTTTTTATATCCTGCTTAACATTTGAAAAATTTTGACTGAGTAATTGTGTTAAGGATGGACTTTACTCCAGTAAGTAACTTCTGCAAGGTAAAAAGATTCACTATAATGCACAGTTATTGAAGTTTATGTTGAAAACTTGGAGGTGTTTTGTTTTAATCTTCTTATTGGAGAAGCAACAGGGTATCTCCATTATAAAAGATCTGACAGTAAATTATAACACTACTAAGAAATAAAACAGGAGAATGAGTAATTAAGATATTGAACTCTTCTATATTACTTAATTTGCAATGTTTGATAAAGGCATTGCATTTAATATCTTCATAAAATAAAATATACATATTTCCTTAATACTCCCCAAAAGAGATGAATCACTTTTAATGAAACAGACATCACTATATCTGTAAAGGAATTCCTTTGTGATATTTAAATATTTGACTTAAAATGATTTCACATAATTATATTCACAGTTACAAATTAGAATTTTACATGTGGCTGAAATATTTCTAGAAGTTGTCATTTGACATACCATTGAAACATTAAGACACTGTTTCCACAGGAAAATATTTTGACTTTTTACTACTCTAAAACTAACTATGTTAACAAGGAGTAAATATCATAATTATTCTTTTTCTGAAATAAATTATTGATGAAATACTGTGTTATAATTTGGATGTTATTTATTTGATATATATAAAATTATGAAAATTTGATATTAGGATGACTAAAGTAAATAGAAAAACTATTGTACAATTCTTTGCATGTAAATCTAATAAATGCTTATTTGGAAACCTTCAATTATTGGTTGGTTGCATTTTCTATTAAATAGTCCCCTTCATTAGCATGTGACATTTTAGCCAATGTACTAAAATCATACCTTATTCTGTTATAATTTCTGATTTATTCCGATGTAGTAGTTGATTAATAACCTAATCAGTTAGAATGCCATGTTTAAGTAATTCTATTTGTCTCACAATTAGGTAAGTTTTGTTGTTTTTGTTCCTGTAGCCTTATAATAAAATGAAAATTAGTATTACTGATTAATACGATATATTTAAAAACTAATGCACAAATATATGATATAAGAAGCTGGTTCAAAAGAGATTACATACAATGGTATAAAGGGCTAAATAATTAAAGAAAAAATAAGTCATATGAATTAATATAGCCATTATATATAAAGTGGGTATAACCTTATTTTCAACGCACATAATAAGACAGATGGATGTGGGTTTTTTCCATAATTGTAAAATGATAAATGAAAGTTTTTAATTAAAACAGGGTGATTCAACAAAAAATAATTTTCTTTTTAAAAAAGCAATTGTAACAAACATACTTTTTAAGTTAAATTATATAGAAACATATTCTTACTAAAATAGTCCATTATTCCAAATATTAATGTAGTAATGCCAAATTTTTCATAAATTTTTACTGCTGCACTTAGTGAATATATGTGCTTTTTGTTTCATATTTGATGAAATAACTTTATATTTTTAAAGGGTCCCTAAAAGACTAGAACAATGAACACATTATTTTGTTATATAAACTGATTGTGATTATGACATAAATATTTAATTCAATGACAGAAAAATAAGTGATACTAAGATATCACTCAACTATTCACATCACGGACCTATGAACATATGTATGCATTTTAATGTTAAATCTAAGGAAAATATTCCCATTTAAATGACATAAAACGAGTTGGAAAACATTTATGTATACATTAACATAGCATAGCTCAAACTATCATTGAAAATAAGATCAGTTAAAAATTAAGGAAAATGTTTCAAAGTGTGCCTGTAATTTAGATTGGGCAAAGCTTTAGCTATAATGTTGAAGGTTGTGTATGTGTGTGTGTTTAATGGGAATCTGTGACAATTCTGTTTTTTGTTTAGAAGGTTATCTCACATCCTCTAATTTTTTTCTCTCTCAATTGTGTTTCAATAAGCAATAAACAGTAGAAAAAGTGATATATGTAGTGGAAAAATGAATTCTACTGAATTTAGTAATTAACCTTTTTGACATAAAGTAAATGACAGGTTTCAGTTTTCAAGGCTGACACATGAAGAATTTTCTCATTAATACAACACTGACTACACTTAAGGTATAAAATTTTCACACATAGGATAATACTGAACCAATGATGTACCATGTTTCTATCTCCAAATTTATTAAATTTGCTTTAAATTTAGAGATTCTTTATACGTTATAGTTATTCATTACCAGTTCAGAGATTTATATATCTCTATATGTTCATATAGAGTTATAAATAGATTTTATATGCATGTGTTATTTGAAGTCACAAAACTATGCAAAACTATGTAAAATAAAATTCTGTGTGAGTTCTATGATTGAGGACCTCTTAAAATAGTCATCTTCAATAACATATTTTACACCACAAAATGTACAGACACCCAGTGTTTTTCTTCTAAGAACAAATACGGATGAATGTATAGAGTCTTTATAAAAGCTTTAAATGATTCTAAATTCAAAGCCATAGAAATAGAATCGAAATAATGTAGATTGTTAGGTATTTTGATAGTACATGTTCAGTGGTTCTCTGATAACATCGACAGCTATATCTTTGGCATTGAAAATTCAGTACAAGTTCTAGACAAAATTTTTTTAGTTTAGAGCTTCTTTTTCTTTTAAACAAGGAAAAACAGGGTTGAATAAGATGAAAACTGGGAGGAAACTACTAATGCTTATTTTTTTATTAGTAAGTTCATCTTTGGGACCCTGAATTACCTTTTTACTTTATTGTATGATGTGGACTATATGAATCCATTTAAAAACCAACTGAGTTGTACCACATTTTAGGAAAATTATATAATATAATATATATATTTTATATTTATTTAGAAGCTTTGAAATAGTACAGTAAACACTTTGCAACACGGTGTATAAACTACAGAATGTCTTTGATAACTTGTGGGTCTTCAGAATACAACATTTTTTTGTAACCCACAGGTGAAAAGAACATAATCACAATCTTTCTTGTAAAGTTGGAATAGTTTGGGGAACACTTGATCACACAAAAATAATATAAAACAGTCAAGTTTAAAACAGTGATATTGCATTTATAATGCACAAATTTCCTTTATCCTTATGACTGGCTTCTCATGGTGAATATAAACATCTAAAGGGCTCAGTGACATTTGGAGAGAGTAAGATATATAGTGCTGTAAACAGGCACACACTGATCGGAGAGGCAAAATCAGTTGCCTAAAGTTTCTACAGTTCTGCACATTTCAACTCATTTCTCAGGCCTGCTGAGAGCAAGGAGGTCCTATGATTGGCCAGGATGACTGCGGAGGCAATCTAATACTCAGTTACACACAACTAACTGGATGGCCAAGATAATGAAGTTGAAAAGTTGATGCTTTTGTTGGTCGACTTTGTGCAAATCATGCTGCTTCAGGGAAGTCCTGTAGAATTGACTAGCATATCCTTTTCCGTGCTGTGAAAAAGAAAAAAAAAATACTCTAAGAAAATGAGCCTGACTTTGGGTGTTTAAAATTGAACATTGCTGTAACAGACGCAAATACAATGGAAATGAATTGTATCCCCATAGAGACCCCTCTAATATCAAAATATTTCAGTGTTACCTTGGTTTTCTAATGATCACAGTCCTTCTGTTGTTGGGCTTTCTGCAGATGACAGTTTTAACATTTTACAAATTGGTTTTGCATGGGGAATGTATACTTTATAAACCAGCCGCCAATTATGTGAGATTAACTTTTTAAAATCATGTATAAATCAACCCCTATTTCACTATTCACACACAATCAGAATATTTAAAGATGTGTGGCTCTTATTTTAGAATATCTATGAACAACTTGTTATATGTATAATTTAATAAACTCTAAGTTATATATAGTAAGTCAATATATAATAGAAAATACTGTACCAGAAACTGTTTATGTAGTTAAAGAAGTAAAGGATGATTCATATGTTCTGGTTTATTTTATATTATTTTAAAAATATATGAAAACCAAATCTTTTTATGGCCTACAATTTTTTTAAATACTTAAACTTATTCCCTGAAATAAAAGAGCTTTCTCATAATGAGGAAAAGGCAAAGGAGAGGAAAAGATATCAGATTTGATCCAGCCTTACAAAATGTATTAAGTTATGTTCAGACTCAATCATCCAGATTTTATGCTATTAAGTATTATATACATTTATAATGATAAAGGCTATTTTTCCCATCTATCCTTAAAGTCTGTAATATTTGACCACGAGCACAATGAGAACAGTAATTTGCATCCTTTAGGTCAGTATCTGGCTCATCATGGATGTGTGATAAAAATGTGCTGAAAATCAAGATTGTCCAATTGTGATAAAAATCACATATGTGTACATCTCACTAAAAATTAAGAACTTAACTAAATAGCATAAGTGAATTGTTTTAATATGATGAGTTGTTGGCTTTTATCTTTTTTAAAAAATGTAAGAATATGCTAATCAGTGAAGGAATTTCCACTCATTTCAAGTAGATTATCTAATTATATATTCGTCCTAATTTTTTTCTCCTGCTTTTCTTATTTATTTTTACTCACAAACTTAGTTTCAAAACAGACTGTCAAACATTCCTTCACCGGTTCACCTTTTAGCAGAATCATAGCAATGAACATTGTGGAAGTCAGTCACCATCTTAGCCAGAAATTAAAGTGCAAATGAAGAGATGGATGCATATCCTGTGTAATAACCAGTATTGAAAATAATCAGAACATATTTTGTTTCATATCACATAATATCATGAATAATAAAGTGAGTTAGCTGCAACATGGGACCACATGGTAGCTATTATAACTTACCTGGTCATAACGCTACATACAGAGAATATTCTACTAGCAAATGGGAACTCTTAAAAAAGAATCTTTTAAAAGAATCAAATCCTATTTTTTTCTATGACCTTGAATTCAATTCCCTGTTTCATGATAAATGAGTATAAAATGATTCAAATATATTTTGTTTATGCCAATCAGAATTGAGAATAATTTGGTGAATTAGAATAGTGAACCACCATAGAAATTCGGGTTTATAAAATAAACTGAAACCAATAATTACAGTGACCAATTAACTTATACTCCAAACTGAACAATTGTGTGAGTGGAAGAGAACACCTTAACAATTATACAAGATATAATCTTATACTTTCCCAGACAGCCCAGGAAATATGATCACCCTAGAAAGACTATTGCTCTTTTCAAAATAAGTTAGAGCTATTACTTACAGGTTGAAGTTTTTTCTTTAAATAGTATGTGAGAAAATACTGTTTTATAGGAAAAATCATTCTAGTAGTTCAAGGAAAAAGCTACATCTTGGTATAAATGCTGAAATGAATCAACCAAATACAATTTTAAATCTGTAAAATATTTCTAATTAGATGGAAAGATTACTTAATGGGGGGGATGAGGACATATTTGTAATACCTTAACCAATAAAGAAATTTTTTTAAAAAAGAAAGATTACTTAGGAGAAAAATTACTAGCATCAGTGTCCTATGTTCATTTGACTTAGAATACAGAAAGAAACTACGTCATTAAAGTGGTTCATAATTATAAGAAGACAGAGTTTAGCGTTATACTCAATATCTTAAATATACTAGTAAACATAAGCTTAACTGGCATATGTTAATTACTGCTTAGGGTTACTGTGTGCTGCTTTTATTCCAGTAGTTGTCTGAAAAATATAATCACCTTTTATTAAATTTACCTCCTCCGACCACTTAGTTAATTCAGGAGGGTACATGTAAACAGGTCAGTACAAACTAGAATGGGGAAGGTGATTTCCTTCATTAAGGAAGCTGATTTGCCAAAGGTGAAGCACTGACAGATAAACTAGAGAAAATGAAATGTGATGTTATTACTAAAGCCACACTCACACACATTTTCTTTCAAGGTTTTGGAGGAGTGGGTTTGAATATTGAGTAACCATTATTGTTTGGGGACTGTATGAGTTGATAATGGACAAGTAACACACAAATATTATTTTTTTAAATCAATGTTATTACATTTTAGAGTCCATGCCTCGGACAGTTATACCACAGTGTTAGCTATGATGACTGTGCATTTGCTGAAGCATTTCAGGCTGCAAAGAGTGGGTCAACTATTTTGAGTTTCTCTGCTTTCTAATCTATTCTATATGTTTTGGAATTAACCAAGCCTAGTGGGAGAATTTCACAAATGCATTTTCCTCTGGCTATTCATCAACATATGTGGGGAACTGGTCACTTGATGTGGATGGAAGATTTTCTTTTTGGTCAAATCCAAAGTAATAAGAAAGTAATACTGCTAGTATTCCTTTTTACCTCTGTTTATTCATTCACTGCATTTATTCTTCATAGTGAGTCATAGAAATGCTACATTTATGACATTTATCTTACTATCTGAACTACAGGTAAAAATCACTCTGTGGAAAGAGATATTCAAATGCAGACCTTCTTATAATGTAGCATATATATGTGTGTATATTTCATATGTATATTACATATACATCTAACATTATATATAATTTTAATGAAAGTTTCATGATGCATATATTGCCTTATATTGTGGAGTCCTCTTATGGCTTTTGATAATTTGTAAAGGTTGATATTAAATTATGGAACTTTTAAACATTCTGATGAATGACAAGAAGAATGAGTGTAAACATGTATGTTGCAAAACAATTGTATGATTTTCAGTACTGATATCCTTTTCATATCATGTATAGTAACATAATGGCCTGGAAAAATAATTCTGTGCAATATACTGAGATGACAATTTACTAATTTGAATATTCACATTCCTATGCTTGCATAGCAGGAAGCCAAAGAGCCTTTATACTTTTTGACAGTATAAACTAGAAGCTAAAGCAATAAATAAATCTTGTGAGATGATCTAATCCATTTCTGCAACTGAAAGAAAGAACGGCCTCCAAACATCCCAGGTGACTGAGACTCTCCACCACAGTGAGACACTTCAGGGGCTGAGATCAGTAACGGACTCCGGAGCTCATCCAAATTTTAATGAGCCTCCCATCAGGACACTTCTTTATATCTGAGGCGAATCTGGCATACACGAGTTTAAGCCCATTACCCCTTGGAGAAGTCAGAAACACCTGCTCTCTGTTCCCTGTGAAAAAGCATATCATAACTGAAAGACAGAAACATCACGGGGTTCCTTCTAAATAGAGGACCCACAGGCTTTTATAAATTCCTATATACTTGTGTGTGCGTGCGTGCGTGCGTGTGTGTGTGTGTGTGTGTGTGTGTAATGTAAAACTACCTTCTCAAAAAGGCAATGCTACATTTACAACTGGTTCAAAAGGAAATATCTACTCTGAATTACTGTGGCCATGCCGACTGCCACCAATACTTTTAACAGGATTGTGTAATTATAGTAACTCAATTTTGTTCAGTTTAAAATTATTTCTCTCTAAATAATTATATTAATTAAGAGTGCGTTGAACTCTGCCACAAAAACCAGTGATAGTGTACCAACTCCTTTAATGAGACAATACATTTTGATTATTATCATTATCTGAATTGATTTGAGTAAGATTTCCAAAGACACAGTAATCATGCATTACTTTTCCATCGAGACATGAGAATTGGCAATATCTTTCTTAAACACTAAAAATATTAAACTCTTAAATTATTGGTTTTCAAAACTTACTATGATAATTCACTTGTATAGAATTTTATATATTGAAGGGATCTATTCTAAACATTTCTAGAAATGTTAAAAATTGTGCTTTAGAAGCTTAACATTTTTTTTTCCTAAGTGGAAAAATAGATAATAGGATGAAGCCTTATCTAGAACACTTTGGCCACTATACCAGGTTCTTTTTGATAAACAACCTCCTTGCCTCAGAGTACCCTAAAATCAAAATTGGAGACTGGATTCATTTGTAGATGCTCCACTCCTACTTTGCCATGTGTCTAGGAAATGAAACTCTAATATGTATTGCTCTCCATTTTATAATATCATAGAAAAATTTTCTGAGATTCTGCACCATAATCCACTAAGCTCTGATTTGTTCCAGAACCCTCTGAAATCATATCTTTCACATAGCAAAGGAGTACCCTTGTAATTTCTTTTGGAGACAATTCATTCTAAGTATAATAAAGTTATATGTTATTTTAATAGTGACAAAGATACTTTTATTTAAGTTAGTATCTAAGATTCTAACAAGATAGCCATATGTTCCTTATAATTGGTCCTAACTTTTTCCTTTGATAATTATGGAGCTGATAGTATTTATTGGAAAATCTTCTTGGTTGGCACATAAAATACTTGTAATTTATACGTTTATTTTCTAAAAAGACACATGCAACATAAACGACTTAGAGACTGTGTGCAAAAGCATGGCTATTTATTTCATATACTTGATCTGATTTCCCCGAACAGACCACAGTCACTTCTATGTCAAAACAAACAGATTTAAAACAGGAATTGCTGGCTCAGTGGA